GTCTGAGTACTCTTTTATTTATGATAACCCAATATCAAAGAACAATTTCATGTAATGGCAATTTTAAGTTGTCGGATTTTTTATTGAGAAGCGCTATGACAAAACGGGTGCGATTTATTTTCTCTGATGTACTACACATCCTCCGGTTATGAAAGCCAATTTCAACCCCAAGCCTCGCTAGTGTGCGGGTTGGGATTGAATCGTAATGAGATTCCCAAAACAATTAAGGTCAAAAGAAAAGAATGACAAAGATTTGAGTAAAGTCTAGTGCAAACAAGTCCTGTAGGGGTGAGTTTTCGGCAATATCTTGAATGCGTAAAGGTTATTCCAAAATGAAAACGAAACAAGTACTTACTAGGTGGCTTGCGACTCTTTGAAGTGCGGTTCGCGAGGGAATGAGGCCTAACAACCAAAGTACTCTGAATAGCGTGCGTGAGACTTTGTAAGGCAAAAATTGCAGAACTTGCAGTTCCTGCATAAATTATGTAAATACTTTCACATTAAAACATAAATCGAGGTTTGGGAGATTTTTTATCTACTTTACCTTGTTTTTCTTTGAAAACCGCTTATTTTCCCGATGATTAACCCTGTAAATCCTCAGAGTAATTCACTTAGACCATGAAAAAAAAGGGGGCATGGTCGCCAACCGAAGCTTTGATTGCTGAAAACATTCTCCTTGACAGTACCAAAGGAAATGTATAGAAAAGTGTATGGAGAATATGGATTCTGATGTTAGGGGCTAAGGGGAAAAGGAGGCTGAAAATCTTCATGTCTCTTGAAAAAGGGCCGAAATGGCGGAAAACCTTGAGTTTACTTATCAAACAGTTCATCGAAATACTTGGTTTATTCCGGAACCACTGTAATACAGGGCCTTAAACGGGGTGGAATGAGCCGAAACTTGCACGTTTAATATGTGCTACATAGGTAATCGTATGGGGCCGTGTAAAATTAAGGAATAATATCACGCTGCAGAAATTACACGAGTCGCGCAGCGACGAACAAAAGCGATTTTAATACTTAATTTTACGACGAAACATGCGATGTAGGTAATACCACAATTCGAGTGCAAATTTGGTGTTAGCACGAGTAAATTTTTCAAATACAACAAAGTTGCACGAGCCCTTAGGGCTAAGTAAGATAAACTTAAGCCTTTCCAATGTTTTCAGTTTCAAGTAACTTTGCCCGCGGCGCAATTAACAAAATTATGGAAAATCTCCCTCTGTCTTAGCCAATCAGTATCTAGTACTTTTGCCCACTAGGTTATAAGGAAAGTCAAATGGAGACTACAAAACAGTGTTCTCGCCAAGCAGATAACAGTTTGTAGTAAGATAAACTAGGAGCATTCCCTTCTTAACGGCAATGTCTGTTGTGCGAGTCCAAAAAAAAAAATTGGCGAGAAGAAAATAGAAGTTAGAGAGCCGTGTAGACTTCTGGGACAAAAAGTACCGCGCCTCACGCTCAGAGTCCCAGAGTCCAGTGCGGTGCGCTTACATCTACATACTGCTTTAGAATCAAGCGACAGACTCCGTTGAAAGAAGGGACTGCTTGTTATCTAGACGTAAAATTTCAATCCAAATTCATTAACAGGTAAAAAAAACTTCCCCTGACCTGAACTTATTTTCCTTGCTGATATTCTTGATGGAGTAGGAGACTCATTAGCTGGGTCTAAGAAACCATCAAAGTTACCTTTTCCATCGTTACGAACCAGCTCGAAGCTGATCTTACGCTTGCTTGGGTTTAAGACGTCGGGCGGAGTTTTTAAAACACCTACAAACCAAAAAACCTGTGAAATACGTGTTTGTCCACTTGAACAAGCTGGAATCTTAATATCCTCATATATTAATTAAAAGATTCACTTAAATTTCAAATATAATAATATACATGAAAACATTTTTTCAGTTCTGATTAGTTAAGATGAATGCAGTTTTCAGTTAATTCAGTGCAGAAGAGGGTTAATTCAGTGCAAAGAAAGAAACAAACCAGACATTCTGATTGGTCAGAATGATTGGTCACTGTCAATATCAAGGTCAACGTCAAGGTCAATGTCACTTGCAGGGTTTGAATACATTATTTTTGCACGTGATGCACGCGCTTTTCTTCTGCGTAGTTATGAGAAGCTACCTCGTATTTTTTCATGCATATTATTAATAGATAATCACATGATTTTCTCGTGCAATTTGGAATAAATAAGCACTTGTAAATTTTTTCAAAGACCACAAATTGCACTCACCCTACGGGCTCATGCAATTTTGTTAGTCTTTGAAAAAATTCACTCGTGCTTATTTATTCCAAATTGCACTCGAAATCATGTGATTACCTATACAAATTAAAAATAAAATTCAAATAAAATGCGAAAAAAGAACTCGGCCAATATCCAGCCATCTTAACCTCACGCTTGGTTAATAACGCATATTTATTATATGGCTGGCAGCCCTGTGAGCAATATGCAGCGAGTCCTGTGTTCTGATTGGCTACCCGAGCGGGCAAGCTGGGCCCATCTTGCCCGCTTGAGATTGCCCGCTCGAGATTGCCTGCTTTGATCCTGCACAAGAAACAAAGTGCATGAAGCGTACTTATAAAGTTCGTACCTTTTGGAAAATGTCGGCGATGAAGTCGCAAAGAGCGGCAGAAGACAGTTAAAACAAGGAAAACATAAACGACTCTCGTGGGTTCGTTGTGCTACAAACACAGTTGGCTTTCTCCCCTAGCTCTCGAACAAAAAATCATCCTTAATTCTTATTAAAGCGAAATATTTTTGCTTTATAGAAAACTCCTCGTTCTTTTTTTTTTTTTTTTTTTTTTTTTTTTTTTGCGTCTTTATGGACCTCGACTTCGTCTAAGTCCATATAAACGCAAAAAAGAACTCGGCCATCTTGACCTCGCGCTCGGTCAATAACGTATATCTATGTCCAAAGCGAGCCAATCGACGAGACTTACAGGTGAAAATATAGAAAAATTGTATAACCCTTTTTAAAATATGTGTCTTTCTGCGCGGTCGTCAAAAACACAGAAACAAGAAAGCACTTTCTTAAACTCATTCTCTGATAAAAACGTTGGGACTTAATTACTTAGGGGTTGAGGCGGTAAGTTTCTAAAGAAACTTCGGTGCTGTGTTGGTAAGGAGGGAAGGCGTATAAGAAGATAATTTTTGTTTTATCAACTGAGCTGATAATGTGAATCGGCCACCGTAAAGAGTTTATACATACATAATTACATATTTATTGACCACTTCCCCAAAGGGCTTTTCAGCGTCAAATACAAAAAACAAAAACATAATTATAATTATACAAAGCGTAATTATACAAATTACTAAATAACAATTAAAATAATTAAAATATCATTCCTTCCTCTTAAATTTGTCTGAAAGTGCCCCTCTAAGCTTATTCCTAAAACTATTAATATCAATGCATAACTAAAAATTATTATTTAATTTATTCCATATGTTTACTGGCCTATAGTGGAAAGTTTTCTGCCCACTTGCATACCTAAATAAAGGGATCTTTAGCATCTGCGAATTTCTGGTTTTCCGGCTACTTACTTATGAAGCTAACATTTCAAGCTTTAGACTTTAGTCAGGGAGAGTTTCGGACCAACACTCAACGTCTTAAAATAATTGAGAAGAATATGCTGCCTTTCTATAACATCAAGAAATGGTTTAGATATTCTAGTCTTCTCGGATAGGGACGAACAAATGGAGGTCCCGTCTCCTGCAGGGTTAGGGGTAGGAGACGTTAATTTCCCACGCACGAGATTACCGTGATGGATGTCCTCCCCTGGGGTGGGATGGGTGGGTTGTTGTCTTGCGTTTCATATATGAGCCTCTGGCTCGGGCAATATGGGTAACCATGCCCCACGTAAAGACATTAAACTTTGATTACTATTACTATTACTATTACTATTAGAAAGAAAATCTACATGGCTTATTTGAATAAACGAGAAAAAAAAAAAAAACAAAGACTGCGGAATTTGGCTGTGCAGCATTAGACGTGATTATACGATTTTACCGTTACAGTGCACCTAAAGTTATCGTGGGGTAATTTTACTTTTTCCTTACCAAAACTGTATCTTCTTGCAATAGGTCTTTCAATGGTAGTTACATAGGACTCGTCAAACCTCTGTAGTTGATCTCCGACTTGATTGTCGTCTTCCTCGCGCACCAGTTCAAAGCTAGTCGCTCGTTCGCGAGGACCAAAGACAGATATGTCTTCTTGAGATAAACCACCTACAAAGTAAACATCACCTTTAAAACTTCCATTCTGCTGCACTATAATCCTGTAACAAGGTCTGCATATCCCGTATAGAGAATCAATTTTCAATATAGAGTACTTTTCGTAAAAAAGTGTCGAAACCAAAACCAAAGTAATCACAACGGCCAATCAGGAGAAAGGAGCCAATAGGAACTCAAAGAAAAAAACAACCAAACTACCTAAAGCGCGGGAAAACGCACAAAGTCGTGATTGAATTTAGTTTGAATCTGATAGGTTGGGAGAGTGGTGCGAGTTTTCTGGACCAGTCACAGAGCGAAGTAAAGCTTAAACAAATAGTCCCGGATTATTTTCGACACTCGATTGAAAATTGCTGTATAGGGTGGATAACTGCTGAAGGAAAGTCTGCTTATGCGACTGACTCACATAACTACAAGAGCTTATGTTTGTATGTAGCTACTTTTTTCGGATAGAATGTCGGTCTATCACAGATTATCCCTCAGCATTTTGTCAGAATTCCCTGACACTTCGGCAGGATCTATTTCCTTTTACCTCTGGGTGGAGAGAGACACGCAATGACCCAGCCAAAGCTCGAACCAGGACCTAACGGTCCCAAATTCAGCGTGCCAACCGCTCAGCCAGCGTATTTTCAACTCACCTCTTACCAATTTAGAATTAGCAATGAATAGGCTAGATTTCGGCAGACGAGGCTAGATGACCTTACCAGGAAGTTCTTGAGTTCTTCCACTGCTTCCACTCCCAGTACCACTATCGGTAGTGGCGCTTTCCTCTTCCTTTGGTTGAGCCTGCTGTTTTGCATGGTCATCATGCACGTCCTGAGAGTAGGTTGGTTTCATCGGAGCGCTTTGCCTCGTGGGTAAAGGGTCTTCCTCTTCACGTGTTGCATCTGTGACTGTTTCTAAAAAAAAATTCAGTTTTAACCATACTTAAACCTGACGGGGTGAGGGAGGGGGAGAAATAGTAAGTTAATTCTTTTTTTGCATTGAAGGAAAACCGCCGGTTTCATAATCCTTAGAACTATATGGCGTTTTTTTCTTTAAAAACGAAGGAAATTAAACATTGATTTTAACTTATCCCCGAAAATGGCGTAATTCCACTGTAGCTTAGACAAGCTTTTAATCTCATTTTACTATAATTATTAATTTAACCCCTAAAAGGTAATTGCACAATTTCGATGGCGGTTTGTGACAGATAAGCACATGGAAATTTTCCCTACCAGTGTTACTTCTTCTTCTTGGCAAGCTTAAGAGAGTCCATGATTCATCAGTCCGGTTTAGACAGTAATTCAAGTGAACTTCTCCTTCGCGTAGTGGTTCAAAACTGACGCGCTTGCAAGCAGCAGGCTTTGATTTGTCTGATGAACGTTCTGGAACGAGTGCGAAAGAAAATTATGAAAGGATAAAACTAAAACCTGTTGACATTGTAGGTAGAAATTACCCGATAGGAGTAGAAATTACCCGATAGGAGTAATTTCTACTCCTTTTGAGTTCACCATTTCACTTAGGAGTGAAATGGTTAACTCAAAAATAACGACAGGAATGATTCGACTGAGCTGTATCTAAATGACTCGGAAAAGCCAGATTCTCTTAATAAGCTAAGTCTGCACACGATTCATGAGGTACCTGGGGAGAACGTGTATTTCTACTCTTTTTGGATGCTGTTCCATGGCAATGTAACCTCAAGCATTTCACCAAATTTTCCCTTACGATTTGCTACAATAATATATATCTTATTAACCAAGCGCGAGGGCCGTACTGGGAGAATATCGGCCCGAGGTCTTGACAGTACGGACCGAGCGCAGCGAGGTCCGTACAAAAAAGACCGAGGGCCGATATTCTTCCAGTACGGTCCAGAGCAAGCTTGGTTAATAAGAGATTTATCATACGACTGAAGTTCAAAGGGACACAAGTGCGGTATCATTCGGGACCATTCGGGACAGTGCCCGGTCCAATACTTAGAGAATATTGGACCGGCAAAAGAGCATTTTGATTGGTTGATTTTAGTTATTGGCCCTGTGACTGCCCGAGTCGTGTAATGATACAACTTCCTGAGCCAGCTAAAGACCGTTTCTCGAAATTTCCGGAGATTGTAGGTCCCGAAAAGCTGCGCTTTGTTTCCAGTGTTCGCCTTAGTTCAAGATTAAGACATTCGTAGTTTTGTAATTAAAAAATGAAAATAAAAAGACTTTGGGAAGAAACCGACTCGAGCGAATTTCAAGATAAGAACTTCTTACATTCTTAGACCTTAGATTCAAAACACGGTTTCGAACCGGCAAATTTACCAGGACCTTAAAAAAATCGGGCTCCCTGCAGGGCCGACGCATAGCGTGTTCATCGCCAAGCTGCGGATTCTTCCAAACAGAACTCGAAAATAACTTGACTTGATTTTTCTAGGTCGAGGAAGTGACAAATTATAAATCAGTTGACTCACCTAAGCTACGCTTGAAATCTCCACTGCCAACTAAAGAAGGAGTTGCACCTTCGCTGATGCTATCATCATTGTAGTCATCAAGTCCAATCTCAGATCGTGGCGTATCATTTTCGGTGTAAACACTTTCATCATAAGGCTCAAATACTTCAATGTCGTCCAAGTCTGTGTCAATTGTTGCAAAACTAAGGACAGAAGCCGTACTGGGGTTCCTTGGGGAACCACATGTTAAAAACTCTGGATCATCCATAGTCTTGGCTCCGGGGCTAAAGAGCAGCTCCACATGAAATCGCTTATCAGACAAAAGATCAGCCTTGGGGTCTTCATACAACAACAGCACGATCTGAGTCATGTAGCTTAGCTCTGGAACTTCTGCTAAGAAGTCAACAGCACTCTGCCACTGGTTATCCGGAATTTCCTACGGTGGGTTACGCATTAAGAAAAAAATTAACCGCACTGACTTTCTCACAAAATTAAAAAAAACAACAACAACAGATTTGTGTTACTAAGCTTTCTGATTGGTTTCTCAAACTCTCGGATAGTCACACGCAAAATAAAACAAATCGTGACTGTGTCACACAAGTTTTCAGTGCAGCGAGCAGTTTGTTGGTTTTATTTTTGGCGCTGATTGGCTCGTTTTCGTGTCATCTTTGCTTTGATTGCAGGGACCGCGCAGAGGGAGCGCTTTAAAAACAACAACAACAACAACAACAACAACAACAACATCAAAAACATGCCCCCTGAATAGGAAATTGGTGTACGGCTGGACAGAATAGATTCCCTCACGCGTGCCCGACGTTTGACCGCTGCGTTGAGTGGAGCCGTTTGGTACTGCACAAAAGTTGTGAGAATTTGGGTATAGTTCTTAAGATGTGGTGTTGTCCGCACTTAGAAGAATCAACACTTTATAGATATGCTTACTTCAAAGAGGTTTCCATATCTTAGGGCATTTACCAACGAGTGCACGTGACTCTCACTGGTAAAGTACAACCTTGTCCGCACGTGGCGATTTAGAGCTTCTACACTCTGTATATGGCTATGAACAAAAAACATGGCAAAATACCATATTACAAATTTACAAAAATTGTAAACATATTGCCTCGCAAATCCTAAACAACAAAGCTCACAAAGCGATTTGGTTCGGGTCCGGGGTGGAGATAGGGTGGAGATAGGCCGTTCAGTAAGCAAGTATCTAAGGGAAACTAACGACATATTAAACCGCTTACTCAGGATCAAGACGAGTATGGGTGTCTGTCTTGTCAGCATGTCGCAGATCTCCGCTGATCTTCTTCAACAGCCTCATGCAAACACTTTGGGAGACAACCAACTTCTCCTCTTTTGTGATTCCATATTCCTGAAAAACAATTTTTATTTGTTAATGAGAAATGCTTGATGGTTAGCCCATCAAAGCACAAGTGTGACCGCCATCTAATTTCTCTTTACACTATCACCTCTGAATCAAACGTCAAAGTCATGAGTACAAAAGAAATGATTACTCTCTTACCAAACTCCTACCGTGTAACTGAGGCCGTGGAAAGTCTTGGCACAAGACTAGGAAATGAGCGACGCTCAATAAAGAAGCTCTTCATTGTTTACTAAATTCTCCTTGTTAATACCACAAGAAAAGAGCAGAGAAAAGTGTAGAGAATGTGCATACTGATCACTGTTGGGGTGTAAAGGGTTACGGGTACTGGGGACTTCCTGACCGTAAAAACCGTTTGTTTCTGTGTTTCACACAAGCTGTAACTTCAAGAATTTATAATAAACCAACATAATAAGCTCCCAGTTGGCTTGTTAGTTCAGTTGGCTTGTTAGTTCAGAGCACTGCACCGGAATCGCAGAGGTCATGAGTTTTCGTTAAAAAAGAAAACGATTGGGAGAAAAATTGTTTGAATTGAACTCACCTGGGGAATCACAATATCAGCGAAGGCTTTGGCACACTTGTATAGCTCCAAACTGTTTGTCAGGTTTAGATGACTAAAATTTCATAACAATCAAACAGGATAAAAAACTTAATTAAAAACGGAAGACATCGTAATTATAGCAGCGGAGTGTCGAAAATTAAAAAAAAAATGATGTACTGAAGTTTTCAAACCTGTTGTGTTGTACGTCATACTTGATACAGTCGTAAATGTCTGGTATGAGGCTTATATCGAACCGACCGCTTTTTAGCTTGAAATCCTGCAAGAGTGAAACATTGTTCAGCCTGCAAGTCAAGTCAGGCGCGGGCTTAAAGTTTTCAAACCTGTTGTGTTGTACGTCATACTTGATACAGTCGTAAATGTCTGGTATGAGGCTTATATCAAACCGACCGCTTTTTAGCTTGAAATCCTGCAAGAGTGAAACATTGTTCAGCCTGCAAGTCAAGTCAGGCGCGGGCTTAAAGTTTTCAAACCTGTTGTGTTGTACGTCATACTTGATACAGTCGTAAATGTCTGGTATGAGGCTNTTCTTATGAGCCCTGAAGTGGCATTTTCCGAAGCCAGATGAAATGGAGCAATCTCATCCGACTTTCGCACAATTTAAAATGATGTTAAGGTATAATTCAAACGACAGAAATGAACTCAACTACTTTATTAAATAAAGGCTGGACGTTTCTAAAGAAACTGTGGTGCTGGGTCGGTGGGGGTAACAAGGTAATTTGGTTATACCAACTAAGGTGAAATTGTAAATTAGCCATCGTAACGAGTAAAAAAGCTGACGTTTCGAGCGTTAGCCCTTCGTCAGAGCGAATGACGAAGGGCTAACGCTCGAAACGTCAGCTTTTTTACTCGTTACGATGGCTAATTTACAATTTCACCTTAGTTGGTATAACCAAATTACCTTGTTACCCCCACCGACCCAGCACCACAGTTTCTTTAGAAACGTCCAGCCTTTATTTAATAAAGTAGTTGAGTTCATTTCTGTCGTTTGAATTATACCTTAACATCATTTTAAATTGTGCGAAAGTCGGATGAGATTGCTCCATTTCATCTGGCTTCGGAAAATGCCACTTCAGGGCTCATAAGAATTTCGAACCCCAAACTTTACGATGCACGCTCTTTCCCAAGAAGAAAAGGTTGCTCGCCACACCAGTACCATGCTCTGACTTCTTCAAATGCAAAGCTTTTGGTTTCTTTCCAAGAAAGAGGGAAATGTTATGACATCTTCGTAGTGATAACATGCAAATTAAATTTAAAGCTAAGAGGGCACAATCATACCTCTTGGATCATAAATTTTCTGAGTAATCAACTCCTTTAACTGCCCAATGAGGCTCTGCACCAACTTGTGAATTCTTTCACACATTTTGTAGGGGTTTTCGACAAATTTCATAGCATTGATTAGTGATGGATTCTTTGTTGGTGCAAGCTGTCGTAACAAAGTTTCAAAATTAGAGGCATGTCTTGTGTGCGGTACATCTGCACTTCACGGAGGGAAAATGTGCAAAGTGTACAGCATGTAGTCTCTCTGGCCCCCTTACAGTTTCTATAAAGCGAAGACGTTATTTGATGAATTGTGAAGCAATAAATTTGATGCCTTGTATTACTGTATTCGGAGACTCAGCGTTATTCAACCCCCCCCCCCCCAAACGACCTTTTAAATATCTTAGGAGACAATATCAATAAGAATTGAATAGATAGACTGATGAATTTCCTGGATATCCACAAAACAGACAACATTTCTTTTTCCTTTTTCTTACGACGAGTGACATAAATGTCAGCATGCATTTAGAAGTCAAGTCTGTAAGAATTTACTCCAAAATCAAAATAATAAACTTACCATAGTAAAATCTTCTTCTTTGAAGTCCTCGTCAGTGTGAAGTAATTCATGAAGTCTGTGCTTGACTCTAAACGAGAAAAATTAACTTGTCTCTGTTATGGAAAGTGTTCCCAGTGCGAGGCAATAAGTTAGTCAAACAACTATGAAATTGTACAACTTCTAAATCTCAGCCAAAAACTCCGTGTTCTCGATTTATGTTTCAAACCTCTGTCAAAATTTTCACGTTTACTCTTTTGATTTTCTATTAAAGAGAAAGATGGATATTAAAGTGCCCGGAGTCCAAGGCGATATTTTTGGCGCAGTGCAGTTCTCAATAGATAGTTCAAAGAAAGCCATGGTTATAATTGTTTCACTGCACTGAGCTAAGAGGCTTAAAGTGCTACTGAAACGAAATTTTCGTAAGTGAAATTTTTGCTCTAACCTGTAGTTTTGAATTTGG